GGTTTGGGGACAGTGAGGCAGGGAAATGCTGGTGTAGTATGGAATGACAATAAGAACTTCCAAGAGCAGTTTGAAAGCAGACTGCAAACTTTACTTCTGAAGCCTCAGAACTGCTGCCGAGCAAAAACATTGTCCCATCTAGATGTGATGCAGATTCTACAGTAAGAAAACCTCCTTCACCTCTACTCCACATAAAAGAAAAGAACAATGGGAAATAAGGAAAAATTGAAGCTCTCTGGGACTGTAGGAGAGGAGGAAAGTGACAGTGTCTTGTCAGTTTTATCTCTGGTTATTTTGCCTGTTTTTCTGAAGGGAAGCTGCAAATGTTTGCATTTTCCTGAGCCAACCCAGAAACCCAGAACAAAGGTTTTCCAAAGAAAAAAGGCTATCTTGCAAATAAGAAAGGTTGTGGCAAAAATAATTTCCCCTTTTAAAATAATATGGCAAAACGCCCAGATACAAAAAAGAGTGTTTGGCAGATAGAGAACCATAAACTTTAATGTTTGGTTGGTAATTATCATCCACAGAATTTTAAATAAAGTCAGCAAAATTAACTTAAATAATCTAGGTTATATGTCATGTTTGAATAGAGTTAGAGACTAGATTTCATTGCAGAGAAAATAGTCCAAGAAAGAAACACTGCCTCCTGGTTAGCTTTTAAAAAGCCAAAAGAGTGAAATTTCAATATCTGAGGGAATCTCTTCATCATCTTAGTAGAGACAGACTGTTATTTTGTCCAGTTATGTGATATTTTTCATAACTGATATCAAAGATCGAGCCAGCAAATCAGAAATGTACTTAGTTGTTAGCTGATTTAATTAGCAACTCTATACTTCAATTATAAAAGAAATAACAGTTAGAGCAAATTGTTGTGCAATGAAGTTTAAGTTTTGGATATGTGTAGGAGATTGTCACAGTACTGTACCAATAGAAGCGAATATGTGTAGCTCAGGGTTGAACTGTGAAGTCCTTGAGGTTCTCTGAGCTTGGCTGTTTTCTTGCAAACATTTCATTACCCGGCTAGGTAACATCTTC